GGGGGGGGGGGGGGGTAAATATCATAGATCTGCTGTCCAATTACGAAATCTTACATTTTTGAATCTTGTCTTAACAAAGAATCTTGAATTTTTGAAATTCAAAATAAATTAAATTTGCTGACATGGATAGATCTTTACCATTCAAAAATAATTAGATAATCCTCTAATTTTTCAGTAATTGGAGAGGAAACTAAACCTACACCTACTATACTATGCTACCTCAACTGTCCAATAAGGAATTCCTTAATGAAATGGCTTATTTACCACCAAGAAGATAATACAGCAAAGATCAGTAACATTTCCACGGGCAGACTAATTTTAGTGAAACCAACTCATTCGGGCCATACATAGTCTGCACTACAGCCAAGAAGTAAGTCATCTTGCCTAGCCATTGAAGCGAGGAAGGCCGAACAGAGAATATGATAATAAAAAACGAAATATACATGGAAAACCCAAATAAATTTCACATAAATTCTTTGAATTACAATGTAAATGTATCATCCGAAGCTTGAAAATGATGAGGCAAGACCACAAAATACACTGCCTCTCCCTTTCCCAACAAGTGAAATTTTCATCAGAATGTCATTACAATTGGTGACATTTCCAATATACACTCTCTAAAGATAAAGAGAATCAAAATAGGATTACACAATCCAAACATGTCCCAAAAAAACCTTATACTTTTTGAAAGATTGCCCCCGAAAAAAAAAACATGGTTTCATGGATGCATTGTGCTCAACACTTGGGACTTCCAAAACACCTACTTGACAACTGATATAATTATAAAATGTGAATGATGCAAAATGTAATGTCATGCCCAAAATGGAGTGGCAGTGGCTTACCCCTGCATGTGAATATATGCAAAAAAAGAAATGAATGAGATGCCATGCAATCTGACTCTGACAACAAGATGCAGATGACTTGGACCAATGCAACACAAACTGACCCAAAATGGAGAAAGACTATGGAATGCGGATGGAATGAGGAACGAGGCCGTGTTGAGTGCCATGACACTCCATCAATGCTTTGCACTGGTACATTCAGACACTTTGACCTACTTGGAGATGATGGCACCACCAGATGACATGGTNTGAGGAACGAGGCCGTGTTGAGTGCCATGACACTCCATCAACACTTTGCACTGGTACATTCAGACACTTTGACCTACTTGGAGATGATGGCACCACCAGCTGACATGGATAAGACCGACAAAGAATCAGTGACCAAGTAGCTTGGGTTCTCAATCACCATATCACAGTTACCTTTCATCCCCTACAACTTAATCTTCCAGCACTGATAGTGCTATTCTTCTATATTCCAAAGAAAGGCCTCTACCTGATTCTGAGAAACCACCATTAATCACTCCCTCCCTCTGACAAAATACAATAACCTGACCCCATGGTGCTGATGCAAGATTTAGTGACAACTTGAAGATTGATTACTTCAGTTATCAGAAAATGTGATGACCTGATATGTTGAATGCAATCCTGGACCTCAACTAGTTGAATGCAACCCTGGAACCCCCCCCCCCCGACTCGACACACCCATATGCATGCAGGGACTTCTAAATGGAAAAGTGTATACCAAATAGCCGCATCATCAAACAGAAATGGCACGACTGATGGCCAACTTGGCCCACTCAGCAGATTCCTTAATGAAATGGTCCTCTGATGACAAGCATTCATTTAAAAAGTCTCTGCTTGACAGAGATTGCTGAATTAAAGCACCTGCATTACCACCCAGTGTATCTGCTAGATCTCCAAGTAACCCAATGGCAGTTTTCATCACTACATCATCCCTGAGAGTAGACATGCAAAAAAGGTTAGAAACTAACTAATCAAACCATGCAAACCAAAAATCTGAGCTACACGAGTTAACCCAGCATTAACTCACATGTCTTTCTCCATGTACAGGCTATCAAGGAATTGGAGGATGTGTGGTGCATAAGGAATCAAGAGTTGGGTTTTAGGAGAATTTTTAAAGCCTTGAAATATCCCAGAATATGCCTCTAATATTCCATTTCTGAGAAGATTGGTATACTCTATCAATTCATCATCAGCACCTGATGTGTGTGCAGACAACTCCGCCGCACTCTGGAGCATAGGCATGGCATACATCAAGTACTTCTCAAAATTCTCCCCTATAGCCAGGGATATGTCACCAAAGCAAGAAAAGATTGGGGGTTTCACAGATCTGTGTAACTGATTGCTTGACAAGTCTTTAAGGAGCTGAGTCATAATGCCATCACAGTAAGGCAGAATCTTATCCTCCAATGCCCTGCATATATCACCGACCACACCAACTGTAACAGCACAGACTTGGTACTCCTCGAAATTTTGAAGACCCATTTCCAGGTACTTATAGAACTCTGGCATATACTTTGCAAAGTCAGGGCCCGCAGCATAGGCAAGGGCTCCAATAGCAAGCATTGCTTCCTCATGCACAGTCGCACTTCTACAAGCGAAAACCCTGAGGAAAAGATTCATGATTTGATCTGCATGCTGCATGAACACATACTTAGTTGGCTCTGATGCCCCTAACTTCTGAATGATGACCTGTAGGCAACCACAAAGAAGGCCTTGTAACTCATTCTGCTTCTCTCTCTCATCAGATGCAAGCTTCTGTGCTTCAAGGGTTTGGTGAAGCTCCATCATAATCACAGGAACTAACTGCAACACCATGGGAGCTGTTTCATCTGTTGAACACCTCACCACTTCATTCAATGTCTCATATGCAGAAGTCCTCAATCGTGACTCACCAGCATCTTCTCTGTGAGTAACAGTAAGGAGCGACTGAACAATTTCCTGAAAATAAGGAGTTAGGGGAGATGATGAGCCCACGTCCTCATAACCTTGAGCCAGAAAATATAGAGCACCACAGGCCTTCTCAGCAACATTTGGAGCGTCCTTCATGCTCTGAAGGAGAACTGTGATAATCTGTTGGCAATTTTCCTGAGTAATAATAGGTGTCTCCATGGTTGAACCATGAAGGAATTCAAATATTCTTCCCAGAGTCCACGCTGTTGTGTCTTTCACATGGTTATTCGGGTCTTTTGTCAAAGCAGCGAGCATGAAATTCAGGGCAACATTAACAATAGGAGTTAACTTGTCAGGAGAAGGACCCTCCAAGATGGAACCAAAGGCATAAGTGGCTGCCTCTCTCTGCCTCCAATCAGGTTTTGTTATGTTTTCCTCAATGAAAGGCATTACAAGTGGGACAATATCATCTCCCACAGTACGTGCAACCAAACCAAGACAAGTGCCCCCAGCCATAGAAAGATTCCAAGCACCTTCATCCTGATCTTGATCTTCTTCCTGCTTAAGTAGTGTCTCCAACAGCATAGGGACAAGTGCAGGGAGAGCTTGCTTAATAAAATAAAAGCAAGGGACATCAGAGTCTGCGGTGAATTCGCCCCCGTATTCTTCTAAAATATCTATCTCCTCATCACAAATTGAGCTCCAAAACTCGATGGCTTGAAGAGCGACAGGCTCCTCATCTTCCTTCACAGCCTTTGCTGTGATGTTAAAAATATCCTGGATGTATGGAGCCAATTTCTCATAATAGGTTGACGAAATGGAGACTAAACACTCAAAAGCTGCCTGTCGGATCTTCAGCTCTGGAGATAAAGTCGCCTCACAAACCACTCTCATTATATAATCACGCTCCATATCATTTGTAAAATTTGCCTGAGCAAAGCCAAGAGCATTATACAATGATCGGGTAGCAGCAAGTCGCACATCATTGTTCCCTTCAGATGCATTCATACCCTGAACTACAGCTGTAAGTATTTTATTTACTTCATCTTGATCTATAACATCTGGAGAAACTTCTTCACACAAATACCCAAGAGTTTCTAAAGTGGCTTGCTTTACATGGGCGGGAACCTGGTGAATATTTGACAAGAGTGATCCTATCAGCTCAGGCCACTGTTTCTGTGGCAGCTCTATGCCTGCAACCTTTGCAATGACTTGTGATGCAGTTGACCGAGCATCCGGAACAGGAGAACAGAGGGTCTGTAACAAGCATGTCTTTATCTGGGTCTTCACAGACACGTCCAGTGACAACCATCTTTGAACCAGCTCAAACTTCCTATGCTGTTCCTTGGCATCCAAGGCATTTTTTAGGATCAGACCAGCTAATTTACGACTGTCTACAGGTTTCTCATCACTAGCAAGCTCCCCAGAAAGGGACAACAAGAAACCAGTAATATTTTGCTCCTGAAACTGTTTCAATGTTTCTTCTGCATGTTTCCGTACAGTTCCATCCACTGACTGTGCATTCAAAAGGACCTGGGTAACTTCCATTGCCATTGTGTATCTAAGAGTATAACAAGCGTCATATATTAGAAATAAGCATAGGCCCAATAAAAGCACACATTGAATACATGTAAAACAAAACCCATAAAAACTTACTGGAGGAGAACTGGGAAAAAGGAAACAAAACCGTGAAGTAAATCTTGCGAAGTTTAACCAAACCCACCTATTCCTCGTCCTGAACCCCCCTTCCCCAAAAAAATATACCGTGGCTTGTTGGAGGAGATAGGATCTGGGACCATTGGAAAATAATCATCAGTCCAAATGATAAGCTGTGGGTTTGAGTTAGAGAAGACTGTCTACCACTTTGGGCACTAAATATTACCCTTACTTTTTTAGTCCAACACTTGGATGCTAGAAAAAAAATGTGGGAAAAAAGGAAAGAGAATCCAATTGAAACCACACTCAAAGGAGGACCACAAGAATTCATTGTGCAATAATTTCCAAAAACATATAACTCATCCCAATAAAGCCACTTAGGAACATATAGGTGAATATAGACAAAATTGAGACATTATTTTTGCTCCTAAGAATAAGGATTAATTCTTTTATCTTTGATGATGCACTTGATCAACAAAAAAAAAAAAAAAAAAAAAGCACAAAGAAAATCCGATCTTCCTTGGGAATTATCCACGGTGTAACATATATTTAAGTACGACTAAAACTATTATGGCAGAAGTTAGCAGCAAAATAATAACATTGTTGCAGTTGAGAAACAAAAAAACTCAAGTACTTATTATTGCAGATGCAAGGAAGGAATAGTTCCCCCAAAACAGTAAAACTTAGATGATATACTAAGCAAAACACCGAAGCATCTACTTAGCGNAAAAAACTCAAGTACTTATTATTGCAGATGCAAGGAAGGAATAGTTCCCCCAAAACACTAAAACTTAGATGATATACTAAGCAAAACACCGAAGCATCTACTTAGCAAAACCCAGCAGTGATCTACTAAGCCGAACACAACAGGAGCTAACGAAACCAAATTACCACAGATCTGAACAGAAAGCGAATCTATAGTTTTATAGGTTAACCAATCAATCTACCATGTGAACCAATTAAAGATCAATTCATATAAATAAGACAGCACCAGCTTAAATTCAAATCGAACAGCTCGAAAGCTCTAATTGCACCATATCAAATCGCCGCATAACCAACTAATCAAACTCGAACACGTTAGATTTACCCAAAAAATAACTGCTTAAAGTTACAGATCTAACAATATCCAACAGATTAACCAATATAAATGACTAAAGTTAAAATCAAACGGTAAAAACTTCAGTCCCGGTAACACTAGTAATTTTCTAAAAAATAATGCAAAAATGGATCAAATTTCAATTACCAAATATGAAGGCGTTAGGGACTAGATTAAACCAAAATCGTACAGATCGAAAACCAAATTCCGTAAATAGAAACCAAGTCGATGAAAACTGAAGTATAAACAGAGGACTTTAGTAAGATAATGATGGAACTACCTGACAGTTGCGGTGGTAACCAGTAACAGATTAAGGGAAAGCTACGCCTCGGAACGAAGGCCAAAAACGGCGCTCTGAAACCCTAGGAGAGAGAGAGAACGAGAGAGGCAGAGAGAGAATGACGACGCGGATGTAATGTAAAAGCAGGACTTGAATTACTATTTAGTTTCTGAATGACCAAAAAAAAAATTACCATTTAATTTCTGTATGATATTTTAGTAATATTTTGAGGGTAATTGTTTTGTGATGGGCTGACCACCGAAATTATCGTATGTCATTGTTTGTTTGGATATACATGTGACGTTAATTCCTTTGTCTGTAAGTATTTTTTGATTTGTTTCTCTGGTCGTTCACTGGCCAAATATAAAACAACAATAGACATTTTATTACTCATGACTTATTTATGAAGTTAGTCAGAGGGTTAATTATCATTTTTGACCCCACAAGTTTAATATTAGATCGAATGGTTTATATACTGCATAAAATTTTAGTTTTTCATGAATTTTTATTGATTTTGTTGTGAAAGCAATATGATTTTTGAACATGTTTTATTATTATTATTATTTTTTTTTTAAGGGGGGGGGGCGCAAAATGATCCAACATAAATGGTCCAAAAATGTTTACTTTATTTTTATTCTTTTATTTGGAATTTATTTGTATCTGAATAATCAACGATTAATTTTGAAAAAACAAAATTATCTATTAAATTATGGTAAAAAGTTATCATAATTTAATGTACAAAACTGATCATGGAAGAAGGATAAGGGTGCCAAATAAAGCCCTTGGATTATAATAATTGAAGTTATTGCCATTTTGATATGCTCAATAATGCTATTCTTATGACTTCTCTTATACCCGTTGGATAATTAGTGAGACTAAAAAAATCTACTAAATGTGGACTGATCATATGAATAAGTTGATGAAAAACTGATCATAATTGCCGGCTTTATGTTGAACCTGATTGTAGCAACTCAAAGGCTCTCGACAAGATGCATCCATCGTCCAGATTGTGGGTGCTTAATCAATTGTTTAAGAGTGCCCAACAGCTGGGCTCGAGTTGAAGCTTTACAAATAATATGTCAAGCAAGCAGGATTGAGGATTGTCTCTACATTCACTTTTTGTATACTATACTAACCAACCCACCCAATCCTGACACCATCTCTCCTGTTTCTTACTGAACGCAGACTTACCATATTGCCCTCCCACTCTATTTGAACTTTGAACCCATTGTGTCAATGTATTAAGCTGTCAAAGGTATTCACTATATTCATGGTAAAGATGGGAAAAACTTATAAATGAAAAGAAACAAGTGATGCTTTTGGTCATTTGGTGCCCATGTTATGTCTCTGCTACACATCTGCAGCCTTCTTGTGGTCACCCCCAACTCCACTGGCTTTGGAGCAGAAAATCCTACCACCGCAAAGAATATTGCAGCATTTTAGCACAGGAAGTGTTTTGGAAGTCTCCGACTCCTCTCAGTACTCTTTGATTAAAGACAGTACAATAACGTCCCGTGATTAGCCATCGCAGATCAAAGTTCATCGTGGTCATCATCATCGCTGCTCTCATCATAGACGGTGTTGTAGAAAATAAACTCGTGTTTCAACATCTCATTAAGGCTTAACTTCTCATCTCGATTCTCGTCAGCCTGAAATTAAAANTAAACTCGTGTTTCAACATCTCATTAAGGCTTAACTTCTCATCTCGATTCTCGTCAGCCTGAAATTAAAAGAGATTAATGTTGAAAACCATTCTACCTATGAGCATATTAATATACCTACTAAATCAAATCAAACTAAATCTTGTGTCTCGATCATTTGGGATCGATTATATAAGTCTGTTTTCACTATTCATTTTGATCATGCACTATACGCTCATTTAAGTTACATATTTTCATATCTTTTCTTATTATTTATTTCAATGTAAATTTAGGTTTATCCTTACTCCTAGTACCATTAAGAGAGATTATCTCATTTTTTCAAACCGGTGCCTCTATTGGGCTCCGTTGAACATGGTCAACATATCTTAATCTATTTTTTCTTAACTTATTCTCAATTGGAACTACTCATATCATTTCTCTAATACGGTCATTTTTTATTCTATCATTTTTATTTTTTCCACATATTCATCTTGGTGTTCTTATTTTTGCTACACTCATTTTGTCACTATTGTTTTCTAATTGTCTAACATTCTGCTTTATACAACATTGTTGTCTGTTCGATAAAAGCACGGTCAGACCTATAGTAAAAAAATAAAAAACGGGGCCTTTAGGCTCCAAATTTAAAGATCGATAATATAATATAAGTTAAAAAATAAAATTTACAACAATATTGTCTAACAAATTAATTTTTGAAAGAGTAAACCAACAAAAAAATTAAAAATTTGAATCCAAAAGTTCAAACCTTATCGCACAATTACATTTATTAAAGGACAAAAAAGATTAATAAAAAAAATGTTAACAAAATCTATATATTTCTTCAATCCAAATAAGTGTAATAAGCATATCTCTTTAGTCAAATAAATAAACCAAACACATTCTTTACTTCTCTTAAACTTAATTTTTTTTTCTCATTTGAACGCAAAACACCAATTAAATCATTCGTTCTCATTAAAAAAATATTTTGATAAAATTCTTATTCGTAACAAAAAAAATATAATAAAAATTTAGGTGAAAGTTGCATAGATAAATAAATAAAATTCACAGATAATAAAATAATCCAAAAGAAAGATAACAATGAATTTATTTATAATAAAATCAATCATCTAATTCCACAGTTTTGATAAAGAACATAAAAATATTAATGAAGAAATTAATTTTATTCCTATAAATATTTCTGATCAAAAGTCATATGATTAATTAAAAAAATATATTAGCAAAATTTAAATAAAAAAATTAGCAATTTCAAATCTTATCAAAAAGTAAAAATAATAGATTTTAAATTAAAAAATTAAATTATTATAAAAAAAAATAAAAGTATCATTAACCGTCATTGGTTTAGGCCTCAAATGTTGTTGAGCTATCTTTGAATAAAAGTTACTTTTCAATTTTATTGGTATTCTCCTATCACATAATAATGTTTTTCTCCACTTAAGTGAAGCAGTGTTGATTCTATGAGTTACATCATCTCCAACCTCTTTATTTTTTTTAATGATCGATTTTAAATATCTAAATTGTTTACTCGTTGATATTTCTTGATTTTCAATTTTAACTTTTTCACTGTCTACTTCTTTTATTATTAAAATTGCATTACATATATTCAGTCTTACTCTTACTTATTTTAAACTCTTTTGACTCGAGTATATCTCTCCAAATTTTTAACTTACTATTAATCCCCCTTAAAGTTTCATCTACTAATACAATATTATCTGCAAATAACATATACCGTGGGACATCATCTTGAATGTGTCTAATGAGTTCATTCATAATTAGGGCGAATAGGTATGAATTTAGGGCCTAAAGAGTTCATCCAAAATTTTACCTTGATTGAAAATTCTTTATTGTCTCCCACGGAATGTATAATATCCTTCCATTACTGGCAATGTTTCCACATTATTTCATAGAGCAACCATATATGAGAGAACAACAACGCAAGGTAAAAAAATGCCCAACGATTATTTGAAGCTAGTTATGTATTGGATTGATCAATGATTATTTTCGACATAGTAACTTACCTCGTTCATCAGATAACTAGCATAATATTTAGCATAGGACAGTTCTCCATGGCTCAGGTACCGGAGTATGGGTTTCAATTCTTCCACGCTCAATAATCTGCCAAGAAATGTAGCACCATGAAATCAGAACACAGAAAAGTTCTATAAGACTCGAGTTAAACCCTCCAAATCCAATCATGAATCCCCCTGCTAATATATCAAATGCACAAAGTAGTTCTGAGATCATGTGATGAACATACTTGTCCTTGTTCACATCAAGCTTGGCAAATACATCCTCAGGTCCCGGTGCACCTGCCCCGCCATTTTCAAATTCAAGGTAGCTTTTGTAGGTGTCATAAGCCCCATTTTGAAATTCCAACAAATTGAGTTTCTGATCTTTATCAAGGTCCATTTGCCTGTACAGAATGAACATACAGGAATTATTGAAGATTGATGTGCTGAATGTCAAGTTTAAGTTTTAGTCTTACGCTGACACTGCGAAGAGTGACTACTTGGTAATAGCAGAGAGAATGTTAATTAGGTGACTGACCTCATTTTCCCTCTCAACAGCCACATCTGTATTTTTTCGTTATTACTGTCCTCTGGATGCAAGAAACTGCAAGAGAATTAGGCTAATTATCAATTCATCTTCACCGAAAACAACATATGAGCGGAGTGGAAATTTAAAAAAAAAAAAGAAAAAAAAGGAAAAGGATAGACGATTACTCTCTGAATTCATAGAAGCTGAGAGTTCCATTTTGATCAAGGTCAGCATTCATGAATTGCTCCTTCCACCATCCTGCTTCACCATGCCCCATTTCGTTTCTTTCTGTTTCACATTCTTTCTATCAATCATAACCCTGACGTAGTAGAAAATACCAAATTTTCTTCTCTTCTCCTCCGTGTTCATGTCAACCAAATGGTAAATTTACATGGAAAAGAAATACTTACCAATGTCTTCATCGGAAAACTGATGGAGATACTCGGAGAAGGAAATGGCCCCATCCCGGTCCTTGTCACGCCATGCCAATTCTCTCTGTATTCTATAATTCAATCGATCAATTGCTTGTTGCACAACCCAAGCCTCAAGTTCCTTAGAATCGATCATTCCATCCTTTGGTGCTGTGTCTAGAAAAGGAAACAATACCATCAACCTCAAGGTAATGTTTAGTCTCCCATCATGGTTGAAATATTCATCCATATCCTCAGGTTTATTGGAGTCCTGATTACCATTCCCTTTTTCCTCAGCCATTCTCTCCATTTTTGCAACGAGAGGGTCGAAAATTGGAGGTGTAAGCTTATAACCCAAGCGCCGATTTAGGCTGTGAGGTCCATAATCTTTGGGACTTGTTTTTGTTTTTCGAGATAAAAATATGAGTAGGACGAAGGCAGTGGCTAGGAGGGTGCAAAGCACCGCCTTCGACATTTTCCGGCTAGCTTTTGGCCGGCGGAGAGTTTTTGGTGCCTCTCTTGTTTTGTTTCCTCCTTTCCTTTTTCTTCTTCATCACAATTGACCGTTGTTGACAGTTGGAAGGGGGCCAAATATAGAAATAGGATTGGTGGCTCCTCCTGGAGTAAACATCAATTTTATTGAAACCCAATGATCCGTTTGATAGGAGGAAAAAAAAAAAATTAAAAAATGAAAAGTTATTGAAATAAATAAAATATCATATTTTGTAAAGAAAAAAAATAGGAATAACGTAAAAGTAGATAAATGAATTTTCTTTCAAACTCACCAAATCAATCCCTTCAAAATTGAAAGAAAAGTGGATAGATGAGTTTTATTTTCATATGTTATGTTTCCATTAATTTCATATATAAATATAATGATAAAATATGTATTTATATTTTTTTTAAAAAAAGTCAAAATTAAAAAAATAAAATAAAATAAAATATTTTTTCTATCTTCTCAAGTACAAAAAAAAATTAATCATTTTTATTTTCTATCCATCCAACCAAACACAAAGGAAAGAAAATGTATCATTCCTACTTTTTTTTCTTGAAGGATAGAAATTGTATCTCTCTTACTTTTCATCCCTTTTACTTTCCATATTTTCTACCAAACGATGCATAATTTATTGACTTAATTTATTCACCTAATTTATTATGATATTTAAATTGATTGTACGTCCTATTAAATATTACAATTTAGTATTGATCTAATGGTTCAAATAAAATCATATTATTAAGTATGTAAATTAGATCAAATTTTTAGATTCAAATAACATTACTCTAGAATAATTATTGGGTGTAACGGTTACACTACGTCAATATTATATTATCACGTAATGTAACCGCCCAATAATAAACAAACAAATAGACAAATGAACTTCAATTTTTTTAAATCTCTCATTTAATATGTGTCTATACGTAATAATTGAAAATAGGTGAATTAAATTGTATTTCCTTATTCTTGAATAATAATTAAGAAAAAATATTCATTGAAATCACTTACCAATAATGCGTAAATAAATAGAAAAGAAAAATGCTATACAAACCCGAATAAAACAGATTTTACACAAGTCAAGAAATATCTATATATACAAGTCAATAATTACTTATTCTTTTTTTTATATAAACTAATAACCACTCAAGTAAAATTCATTTTATTCATTTAAAATTTTATTATTAATGGGTGATATCATGTTATCTCCCATGATATCGCTGTTGCATTCAATATTTTCTCAGCTTTTACACCCTGCTTTATAACATTCACACATTTTATTACTTGCCTAAAGCACGTTTTACTATATTTTTTTTTTACTAATATTTTAGCCGTAAATGGCGCACTAATTACTAATGCTACCATTAAAGGCTATGGCTTTAACTCATTTTCAGCTAAAAATTAACTAATTAGGCTTTTTTTAATACTATTTTTAACTTGGAAATGCATTGATTACACTCATGACTTTCATATGCATTGCATCCACATTCCTCAAATTAGATTTTGATTAAAAACAATTTGAAAACTTTGAGATCATCCAAACTTTGATCTTAATTGTAAACTCTAAACATCAATAATCATTAAATCGCTTATAATTTGAATACTTTACATGTAGTTATGATGCAGCAGAACAAAGAAAATTACAATTTTTTATGTATCGATTCAGAAGAAACTTATTATTCAAACTTCAAAGGCAACAGGTCCCAATTTCATCAGACGCAAGATCTCCAAACCAACGGTNAAGAAACTTATTATTCAAACTTCAAAGGCAACAGGTCCCAATTTCATCAGACGCAAGATCTCCAAACCAACGGTTGATATAGTCCCAGCACAAGATAGAATCTGATTGGCTAAGACAACCAGTCTCGAAAGCTCATTGGTCCAAGTAAGCACTGATGACACGTTCTGTTATTCAAACACTGCCCTCCACGTTTGCTCACACAAACACGCACTGGTCGCTGCTATAAAAGCCTGGCTTTATTTCCTGCTGTTTCTTCAAACCCCAGAGAGAGAGAGAGAGTCGGAGAGACATCGTTGAGCACAAAAGAGAAAGAAACACAGGAGCCGGAGATTGAAGCTTTCTTTAAGCGATGGCTGGTCCGTGGAGGAGCCCCGCGTCGTTGATGGTCNCACAAAAGAGAAAGAAACACAGGAGCCGGAGATTGAAGCTTTCTTTAAGCGATGGCTGGTCCGTGGAGGAGCCCCGCGTCGTTGATGGTCATAGGAATCGTCGTGTTCGGTAACTCATTTCTCCGCTATTCCTCAGATCCGTTTTGTATTTTATTTAATTTCTTGTTTAACATATTTGAGTCCTTCGATTTCAATAATAGCTTTGATTTCTCTTTGCGTGTGCGTAATGGCTCAGATCTTTTAGTATTCACTTTTGAATGTCATTGTGTTATGCACACGTTTTTGAAGGATTTAGAAAATAAAAGAAAAAAAGAATGGGGATAGAATAATCGCTTGGAAACCTACGGTAGTTCAATTCGAGAACTGGATCTCCAAAACTTGCACACNTCATAGGAATCGTCGTGTTCGGTAACTCATTTCTCCGCTATTCCTCAGATCCGTTTTATATTTTATTTAATTTCTTGTTTAACATATTTGAGTCCTTCGATTTCAATAATAGCTTTGATTTCTCTCTGCGTGTGCGTAATGGCTCAGATCTTTTAGTATTCGCTTTTGAATGTCATTGTGTTGTGCACACGTTTTTGAAGGATTTAGAAAATAAAAGAAAAATAGAATGGGGATAGAATAATCGCTTGGAAACCTACGGTAGTTCAATTCGAGAACTGGATCTCCAAAACTTCACAGAAAAAATTCAACATGGTTTTTCATTTATAGGAAGACTTATGAATAACTTCCATGTCTCAGGGGCGGCTTGACACTATTTGGCCTAAAGTGAGAATTCTAAACGAGACTTTTTTTAATTAGTTTTAATGCTATTTTTTTTAGAGATGCAAAATTATTAGTTCAATTTTTATAGCATATCTTTCTCAATTTATATTGCAACTAATTCACTTAATTTTTCTAATTCTTTGGGATTCATTAATTGCTTATTTGCGAAACGTTCATAAAAATATTTTTTATATATTTTATTTGTTATTAGTAACAAATTTAGCAAGAGATCTTTTAGGAGATTCAATAATTTTTTAAATTTCTTTATCTTTTTTAGTTTTTTATGCCCATACACTTGCTTTTTAGTTACAGTAATTTTAAAATATATAAGCAGCAAAATAATTATAAATACACTATTTATATCAGAGAACGNTGCAACTAATTCACTTAATTTTTCTAATTCTTTGGGATTCATTAATTGCTTATTTGCAAAACGTTCATAAAAATATTTTTTATATATTTTATTTGTTATTAGTAACATATTTAGCAAGAGATCTTTTAGGAGATTCAATAATTTTTTAAATTTCTTTATCCTTTATAGTTTTTTATGTCCATACACTTGCTTTTTAGTTACGGTAATTTTAAAATATATAAGCAGCAAAATAATTACAAATACACTATTTATATCAGAGAACATAATATGAGCTTAGCATAATTAGAGATGCTTATTGTACTCTTTGACCAGAGAAGGAGAGGGGGAGGGTTTATGGTTGATTGTTGCTAATGGCACTTTTTAAGAGAGAGAGAGGGGCTTGATTGTTGAACGGGAATCTACAACACCACTGTTTGTTGTTTAAGTCTTTAATTTTTTTTGTTTGCTCATAGTTTTGGGGTCTTTTTTGNCTTTGACCAGAGAAGGAGAGGGGGAGGGTTTATGGTTGATTGTTGCTAATGGCACTTTTTAAGAGAGAGAGAGGAGCTTGATTGTTGAAAGTGAACCTACAACACCACTGTTTGTTGTTTAAGTCTTTAGTTTTTTTTGTTTGCTCATAGTTTTGGGGTCTTTTTTGGTCTTATTTTTTATGTTATTGAATTTTTGGTCTGAATTATTTTTTTATAAGAAAAAAAATAAAATTGGCTCCTTTGTTTTCTTATGGGACCAAATTATTTGGGGCCTTGTTTACTAATATAGGCCATTATTGCATGATTAAGATGTGTTGCGAATAATTAGTTTGAATTTTGAAAATATGAAATGTGTTGGAAATAAGTATTTGAAAACAGAGGATTGAAAGACTGTAATTTGTTATTTTTGGAGTGCAACTGTGTAAGGAGTGGCTCAGTGTGGTTGTAGTTTTTGTTGTGTACAGATCTGCAATAATTTTTATATATAGTTGATATGTATCACAAAAATTTCATGAGACCAGCCCAAAATATAAAGACTTTCAGGTGTTGTTCATTTTACAAGTTGGATTCATAGCTGATGATTTATTTGTTAACAGGATGCTTATTTGCAATTTCTATTGCGAAAGAGGAAGCCACAAAATTGGGAACAGTTATTGGGATAGACCTTGGTACGACGTATTCATGTGTTGGTGTTTACAAGAATGGGCATGTTGAGATCATAGCTAATGACCAAGGTAACCGGATTACCCCATCATGGGTGGCCTTCACTGATAGTGAGAGATTAATCGGCGAGGCAGCAAAGAATCAGGCAGCGGTTAATGCCGAGAGAACCATCTTCGATGTCAAGAGACTTATTGGGAGAAAGTAATATCTAGTTCTTTTCGTTTCTATTAATTTATATGCGTGGCAAATAATTCTATCAGTTATCATGACTCTTAACTTAAATTTGTAATAGATTTGACGACAAAGAGGTTCAAAAGGACATGAAGCTTGTTCCCTACAAGATTGTGAATAAGGATGGGAAGCCTTACATACAAGTACAGATTAAAGATGGGGAGACCAAGATCTTCAGTCCAGAGGAGATTAGCGCCATGATTCTCACAAAGATGAAGGAGACAGCTGAAGCATATCTTGGAAAGAAAATCAAAGATGCAGTCGTAACTGTTCCTGGTAGACTGATCAGTTTTTATTCAGAACTTCTATTTAAATAAGAATGCTATATCAGTCTTGACATTGATTTGTTTCCTCTTGTGTGGACTCTACAGCTTACTTTAATGATGCCCAGAGGCAGGCTACCAAGGATGCTGGTGTAATTGCTGGACTGAATGTTGCAAGAATTATTAATGAACCAACTGCAGCAGCCATTGCCTATGGGTTGGACAAGAAAGGCGGCGAGAAAAACATCCTTGTCTTTGATCTTGGTGGTGGTACATTTGATGTCAGTATCTTGACCATCGACAATGGTGTGTTTGAGGTTCTTGCCACAAATGGAGACACTCATCTGGGAGGTAAGGAACCTAGTTGCGCCCATAGTGGCCATTTGTTACTTTTTGTAGTTGCATAGATTCCCCAGTTTCCAAAGAATAATTTGAGGAAAAATGATGAATGATGAAAGATTCATCTATTGACACAACATTTGAGTTGGAAAATTTTATAGATCATGCAGTGGTATATCTTGGTGATATCTGGTCTAAACTAAATAACAAAGCCTATGATTGGCTTTCTAATTATTATTATGGATTGCATTTTATATGGCTTGGGTGGAAATTGAAGTTTGCATGGGACTAGAAGTTTCAGGCATGACGTATGTTGGTTTATTTACTCTGCAGGTGAGGACTTTGATCAGAGAATCATGGAATACTTTATTAAATTGATCAAGAAGAAACATGGAAAGGACATTAGTAAGGACAACAGAGCTCTTGGGAAGCTGAGGAGAGAAAGTGAACGAGCCAAAAGAGCTTTGAGTAGTCAGCATCAAGTGCGTGTAGAGATTGAATCTCTTTTTGATGGTGTGGATTTCTCTGAACCACTCACTCGGGCTCGTTTTGAAGAGTTGAACAATGATCTATTTAGAAAGACCATGGGGCCTGTTAAGAAGGCCATGGAGGACGCTGGATTGGAGAAGCGTCAGATTGATGAAATTGTTCTTGTTGGTGGAAGCACAAGGATTCCCAAGGTTCAACAGCTCCTAAAGGACTTTTTTGATGGGAAGGAGCCGAACAAGGGTGTGAACCCCGATGAGGCAGTTGCTTTTGGTGCTGCTGTACAAGGAGGCATATTGAGTGGAGAAGGTGGTGATGAAACCAAAGGTATTATCTTTGTATGCCCTTTTTGGTTGAGGTTTGATAGTTAATTTTTGTTACAAAGCTTGCAAGAGTAAGGTGAAATTTTGATATACTGACTACTGCATCTTATTATTCCAACCAGATATCCTCCTTTTGGATGTGGCCCCGCTTACTCTTGGTATTGAAACCGTTGGTGGTGTGATGACCAAGCTGATCCCTAGAAACACCGTCATTCCGACCAAAAAATCTCAAGTTTTCACCACTTACCAAGACCAACAGACAATTGTTTCTATTCAGGTACTGCGTACTGTTGAATTACAGATTTGACGAGTGTACATGGTGGGAAGCATAGGACGCACTTGACTTTATTATATGGAAAAAACTATGCATACTAAAATTTTTACCAAAAAGGGGTTTTACCAAATGAGTTGTATCTCCATATCACNTGCGTACTGTTGAATTACAGATTTGACGAGTGTACATGGTGGGAAGCATAGGACGCATTTGACTTTATTATATGGAAAAAACTATGCATACTAAAATTTTTACCAAAAAGGGGTTTTACAATGAGTTGTATCTCCATATCAGTCTTGGACTCACTAAATGCTAGACAATATTTTTGATTGGATATAGAGTTGCCAACTTATTTGGTAAAAACATTTTTTTGTAAAAGTTTTTGTAAGCATAAAATTATTATATATGAACACCGACCCTATCCGGATTTGTCTGGAACTGGGTTATAGTGTCTGTTCTGATTTAAACAAGTACTAAATGACAGGTCTTTGAAGGAGAACGGAGCCTGACAAAGGACTGCAGGCTGCTTGGGAAGTTTGATTTAACTGGGATAGCTCCAGCTCCAAGGTTTTTATTTTTTTATAATCAATCTAGAGCTTTCTATTTGAAGTATCCTCTTCCTTAACTGACTAGATTTCAATCATTTGTTTGAACAGAGGAACCCCTCAGATTGAAGTAACATTTGAGGTTGATGCCAATGGTATCCTAAATGTCAAGGCCGAAGACAAGGCCTCGGGCAAATCTGAGAAGATTACAATCACCAACGACAAGGGTCGACTGAGTCAGGAGGAGATTGAACGCATGGTTCGGGAAGCTGAGGAGTTCGCTGAGGAAGACAAGAAGGTGAAAGAGAAAATTGACGCCAGAAATAGCTTGGAGACTTATGTGTACAACATGAAGACCCAGGTGAATGACAAGGATAAGCTTGCTGACAAATTAGAGTCTGACGAGAAGGAGAAGATTGAGACAGCAGTTAAGGAGTCCCTTGAATGGTTGGATGACAATCAGAATGCTGAGAAGGAGGATTATGAGGAAAAGCTGAAGGAAGTGGAGTCTGTGTGCAACCCAATTATCACCGCTGTTTATCAGAGGTCTGGCGGAGCCCCTGGCGGTGGATCAGGAGAGGAAGACGATGATTCAAACGACGAGCTGTAGAAGGATAACAAGTCACTCTCAATTTGTGCAAATAGATGTTAGTTTTAGGATAGAGAGATGCTGGTTAGTTAATGTATTGTTTCTAATGGATTTGGCGGCAAAGACAGGAGAAAACAAACACGAGTTGGGTGGGAGAAGATCACTTCATGGTGGTTTGTTTTTATCCCTCTTTTCCATTTTTGGAAGATACATATAAAAATATCTATCAATTTCTGAACGAGNAGGAGAAAACAAACACGAGTTGGGTGGGAGAAGATCACTTCATGGTGGTTTGTTTTTCTCCCTCTTTTCCATTTTTGGAAGATACATATAAAAATATCTATCAATTTCTGAACGAAAACTTTCTAACTTCTCTGCTATTGAAGTGATTGAATTTGTCCCTGTTCAAAAAAAAAAGAAAAGTGATCGAATTTCTTAGACCGCAGCACATTGCTTGAAACTTCGTAATGAATTCAAAATTATTGTCTAAACTATTTTTCCACAGGTGAAGGTGACAGCAAGGATCTATAAGCAAAGGGATTTTTGAATAAAGGATTTGACTGGATAAAATTTGTTAGAACAGAAAATGAAATTCAGATATCTGTAAATAAAACGTAAAGGGATATCAAATAATTACGCCAAATGTTAGGGTCGGCATGAACTTTACACTGAATCAAATGCATTCCATTTCAAACCAAAAGTGGAAAAGAATGCTAATATACTTTAATGTCACTTTCCACCTTGAAAGATGTTTTGATTCTTAATTTACATCTTTAAACATTAAAAATATTAATTTATACCCCTTAATGTTATAAATTGGTAACAATGTGAATCTTACCCAAACTATTATTCAATTTTCCATCATAAATTGAAATATGTAAATTGCAAAAACCTTCCATCATAAGCTTATCTATAAATTCATAGAATGTTGACACCTCATGTGAATTGTACATTATAAATTTAGCTTCTATTTGATTAATAAACATTATTTTTGATACATAAAACGATGTCAAATTGATCGTAGAGAAAGATCTACAGCGATGAACATAAGCACTTGTAATTCATTGACTTCAATTTATGACAAAAAACTAAACGACAGTTTGGACAAAATCCACATTACTACTAATTCATAACATTAAGNTTGATCGTAGAGAAAGATCTACAGCGATGAACATAAGCACTTGTAATTCATTGACTTTAATTTATGACAAAAAACTAAACGACAGTTTGGACAAAATCCACATTACTACTAATTCATAACATTAAAGATGCAAATTGAGTTTTTTAATATTTGAGGGTACAAATTAAAAATCAAAATATCTTATAGAGTGTAAAGTGAAATTAGCCCTAGTTGTTAATATATTATGCAAGTTCGAGAAAGGGCCGAGTGAGTGTTAAATAAAAATACAGCATGTACATCCAGCAGAGATTATAGATGATGATTCCATCGTAGGGAAGGAGAGGGACACAGAATTAATCAGCGGTCAGTAAAGCTGGCCACAGGATGGATCCAAGGCCAGTTAAGCTCACAGAGATCACCAGGGGAGTGTTGCATCATTATCGTTTATACCAGTGTCAGCATTTTGCTTCACTAGGAACTCTGCAATCGCTTCTCTCTCACAAACAGTAGCATAATGCAATGGTGTTTGGCCATCATTGTCCTGCAAACAAACCATATACAAGAAAATCAACAAAATTCGAGATGAGAAAATCCAAAACTTAACTTCATTTTCGTTCAGTAGCACTAAATATTTACAAGCTACAAATATCAGGGGAAAAGTCAAAAAAATAAAACCCTTCCAGGATACAGAGTGCTATACCACGATCACCAATGCCACATAAATAAAGCCCATGTTCTACGAAAATATCTCAGTACAAAAGCTTCCTATAAACAGAGCAAGATCAAACTTTTGCACTTGCGCAACTCTAAATGCTAATTCTATTTGAAAATGATCACTGCTGTGGCAACAAACTTTGCTGCATACAAGTTCACCCATTTAACTAAATTCACATAAGCCCATAATGTTGCCACTATGGTATGATGGTGTCGCTTGCCAGAAAATAGAACAAAAATTTTTAAATAGAAAATGGCAAATAGTTGCTTTGCTCATTCGAAGGCTGCAAAAGACAATATATTCACGTATACATGTATTCTTGAATCAACTAATGCTTTTGTTTCAAAAATGTTCTAGCCAATCCTCCTCCTTTTCTTTTAGAGAAAAGGATTGTTACAATAAGTAATTCCTCACAGTTACTCACCCAAACATAGGCACGTATGTGCGCGCCCACACTGAGAAGAGAAGAGAGATTTTTATGATCAAATGGCAAGGTAATCGTGAAATTTATTTGTTCCCTAGATATATACGTGTACTAATCATAATGGCATCTTGCAAAAGCATGTGTATGAGATAAACCATCTCTATCAGCGTCCAAGCACATAAAGGTGTCTGTAATAACAAGCAACATAATCAGTCACTAACTTATAGCAATCAACATACCNGAAAATGGCAAATAGTTGCTTTGCTCATTCGAAGGCTGCAAAAGACAATATATTCACGTATACATGTATTCTTGAATCAACTAATGCTTTTGTTTCAAAAATGTTCTAGCCAATCCTCCTCCTTTTCTTTTAGAGAAAAGGATTGTTACAATAAGTAATTCCTCACAGTTACTCACCCAAACATAGGCACGTATGTGCGCGCCCACACGGCCACACACCGAGAAGAGAGATTTTTATGATCAAATGGCAAGGTAATCGTGAAATTTATTTGTTCCGGAGATATATACTTGTACTAATCATAATGGCATCTTGCAAAAGCATGTGTATGAGATAAACCATCTCTATCAGCGTCCAAACACATAAAGGTGTCTGTAATAACAAGCAACATAATCAGTCACTAACTTATAGCAATCAACATACCGATGTTTAAATTACCTTTGCATTTATATCAGCATTCCTGCTTGTAAGTAATTTTGTATTGCTAAGATGACCACGGTCTACAGCCTAGTGCAATGGGGTCCGGCCCTCACTATCTGCAACAATTTCAAAAGAACTGTGTCAGAGGGTGTCCATTATTGTTGAATCCATGAAAATGCTTACATCGAGGTGTCACTCAACCTCTTTGAACACACATAGAGCAGTCAGAGAACAAAGGACGAATAGGGATATTGACACTGTAAGGGTAATAACAATAAAAGTCGAGCAAAGCCTGGCTGGTAGTAACATGCAACTAAGGTTAGCCACATACTGTGTGGCCGTGTTCCATCTTGATCCGTCACTAACACGCTTATTAATGAAACCATCCAAAGGTTTATGGGTGAGTTCCTATCTTTACCACTCTAATTCAATAATACAACAAACTAGCTGAGTCGTACTTAAATTCCTCGCCATACTCCACTGATTGGATGTGAACAACTAAACCAATATTTCTGTTTGCCAAGACTGAGATTTTCAAGTACGCTTCTTAAAAGTTCTATTCTTTTACTTTGGGAGGGGAGGAGAATTTGAACATTTGACCTCAAAAAAATAAAGTTTTTACAAGGTNACATGCAACTAAGGTTAGCCACATACTGTGTGGCCGTGTTCCATCTTGATCCGTCACCAACACGCTTATTAATGAAACCATCCAAAGGTTTATGGGTGAGTTCCTATCTTTACCACTCCAATTCAATAATACAACAAACTAGCTGAGACGTACTTAAATTCCTCGCCATACTCCACTGATTGGATGTGAACAACTAAACCAATATTTCTGTTTGCCAAGACTGAGATTTTCAAGTACGCTTCTTAAAAGTTCTATTCTTTTACTTTGGGAGGGGAGGAGAATTTGAACATTTGACCTCAAAAAAATAAAGTTTTTACAAGGTAAGAAGTATCATTGGACCAAAAGTCCAAGTTGTATCTAACTCAATCCCGTGTCGCTGAGTTATTATCACCAAATCAGTCGATACGGTTCTGAGACACNACAACTAAACCAATATTTCTGTTTGCCAAGACTGAGATTTTCAAGTACGCTTCTTAAGAGTTCTATTCTTTTCCTTTGGGAGGGGAGGAGGATTTGAACATTTGACCTCAAAAAAGACAGTTTTTATAAGACAAGAAGTATCATTGGACCAAAAGTCCAAGTTGTATCTAACTCAATCCCGTGTCGCTGAGTTATTATCACCAAATCAGTCGATACGGTTCCGAGACGTCACAGTATGACCTGAATCTCTCGTCAAATTCAACATATTCTTTTAGGTTGTATTATCCGATACCGCACTACAATCAATGTGTCTCAGAGCTCTCCGAGTCGATGACCAATACCGTGACCATGAACCATGATACAGATAGGAAAAATTAACTCCATTGAGTACGATTCATCCTCTCAACTACAGGTCATAATGCTTATAAAATCTCAGTGGAGCTCCTAACCGGACATAAATGTTAATAAATAAGAAGTAACAAACCCTTTTGATTCAATGAAACACAGCTTTCAATACATTTCAGTAGATTCTCCACATCTCCTTCTCTTGCAAAGACATGTATCGCATCCAATTTTCTGAAAGAAAAATAAACGAGAACAAAAAACTTACGAACTGCACAACAATTTCTCTTCCCTCCACACACCCAAACCCTAACAAAAATCCCCCTCAGAGTTTGTTTTCCTTGAGAAACTTGATAAGGAACTGATTCAGATATTCACAGGCTGTTGTTCAAAAATTAAACTGACATTCCCTAGGCAGACCAAAATGAATTCAGCAATACAATATATTAAGTCAAAAATTCATTCTTTTTCTCGACATAGTGTCAGAGTCAGGTGGAGATGACCATTTTAATATAACCACATCAAGGCCTCGAACATGTAAAACAAACCCTGAATGATAATAGACCTCAACATTTAGAAGTTCTAAGAATCTTACAATTCATTTCCAGATTCCTCCTCATAAACAATGGTGCTGAATACAGGTCCCATCAGTGCTTTAGTATCTGTACTCGGTGTATCACTATTATCTTNAAAAAGAAGAACGAAACAAAAAACCCGAAATAAAAATGATGGAAAGTGGGGGTCTACACTACAAAGGGAAGTGCTAATTATTTCTCATTTCCTCACTGCCATATTTCAGAAAAGGAAAAATTTGAAAAGAAAGTTTATGCCAGTTTAGACTTGGAGATCAAAGCATATCACCCGCCTTCAACCCACCTCATCTTGAAATGTTCATAACCAAAGACAATAAGCCAACATTGTTTTTAAAAAGTGGAACCTAAAGAGCAAGAAAAATGTGGATCTTACAATTTCGCAAAGAAATAAACCCCCTGCCCAGAAAAGGGAACTTATTACCAAAATACGGCTTTTTTCTAACTTAATTATCAAAATAAAGCATTTTTAAATTTATTTACCATTACCAAACTACGATATTTTTTAAAAATAGATTCGGTAACTTCGATTTGTTAAAAAAAATNTCATCTTGAAATGTTCATAACCAAAGACAATAAGCCAACATTGTTTTTAAAAAGTGGGACCTAAAGAGCAAGAAAAATGTGGATCTTACAATTTCGCAAAGAAATAAACCCCCTCCCAAAAAAGGGAACTTATTACCAAAATACAGCTTTTTTCTAACTTAATTATCAAAATAAAGCATTTTTAAATTTATTTACCAAACTACGATATTTTTTAAAAATGGATTCGGTAACTTCGATTTGTTAAAAAAAATGGATTCAATAACCCCATTTTTGTTAAAAAAACGGATTCAATAACCCCACTTTTGCTAAAAGTCAGATAGATTCATCATCCCCGTTTTTGTTAAAAAGTGAATTCAACAACGCCACTTTAAAAAAAAAATAAAATTGCGCAGCGGAAAAAGCGTGCTTAGTAAACACACGTTTTGAGCTTTTTTACCCAGTTTTGCCAACAATTTTCATTTTTCCTCACTATTCCAATTAACTGCAATTAAAAATGCTGTGCAGCCTGACATTGCGGCTCCTAGGGTTCATATCTTGGCGTCCTGGCCCCCTTCTTCTTCTACCTGACCGCCTGATGTCAGTCCAAATGAACTATTTCCACTTGAGTTCAAAATTGAATCTGGAACCTCCATGGCTTGTCCCCATATATCTGGTATTGTTGCTCTGCTCAAAGCCATCCATCCCGGATGGAGCCTTAGTGCGATTAAGTCTGCCCTGGTTACCACAGGTAAGTTACATGTACTAGATTGCCCCGTTTAATTATTCCAACAATCTAGTAGTTGAAAATATGGGGAGGGAATGCTTCCTATGCCTCGCCCATAATTTGATTTTATACAGAAAAGATTAGTGGCTTTCATGGGTTTGAGTTACTCATCTGAACATGTTAACGCCTCTGACTCTCTCATTCTTTCTTTTTGACTCCTGCACCCAGCCTCTGCCAAGTATGGATATGATCAATGTGCTACTGCTGAGGGAGCTCCACACAAGAAGGCCGACCCATTTGATTATGGTGGTGGTCATGTAGATCCTAACAAAGCCATAGTCCCTGATCTCATATACGATATGAACGTCGAAGATTACGCCCTCTTCCTTTGTTCCATGGACTACAATGAAACTGCCATTAGCTGGCTGTATCGGGCTCAGACTCCATGCCGTAAACAAAACAACTTTCCAGCAAACTTTCTATCTATCTCTGTTCTAGTTTTGCGTAAAATACGTGTTTAAAGCGTGGTTAGTAACATGCTTTTTACAGTGTCCAATTTTTTATTTTTTTTTTTTCAAATTGGGATCGTCGAATCCACTTTTGTTAATGTAAATNTCCATCTATCTCTGTTCTAGTTTTGCGTAAAATACGTGTTTAAAGCGTGGTTAGTAACATGCTTTTTACAGTGTCCAATTTTTTAAATTTTTTTTTCAAATCGGGATCGTCGAATCCACTTTTGTTAATGTAAAGACAGAGTTATTAAATCCGTTTTTAAAAAGCTTGGTAAATAAGTTAGAAAAGAAATGTAATTTGGTAATAAATTCCAAAAAATAAGTTAGAAAAGAAATGTAATTTGATAATAAATTCCAAAAAGGGGGGGGGGGAATAGAGAGGAAAGAACTCAATGACATCGGAGTCGTTTCCGATGTTTGAAGTATTTTATCTGAACTTATAATTAGTCCAAACTTTTTAACGGTAAAATGGACAAAGTTAATTTTAGGTGCACATTAATATTTAATGAATTTATGTCTTTTAGGGTATTAATTATTATTTTTAAACTTTAAAGATATAAATTAAAATTTAAGCAATTTTTTGAAATGTAAGTTGAGATTAGTCCTCGAAGATATCGCTGCCACTCAACCATTGCGATGAATTGACAATTAAACCCTATAAAGCCGGTAAAAAAAAGCTCTATATAATATAGATGAATGTACGAGAAATACGTCCAATTTCTTCGACAAAAAAGGTATAATTTTATATTTAAATTTTGAGAACACAAGGGTTCCGGCCAAAACCATCAGCCTCCTTCGTTCCTGTCCGTCACCACCACACGACACGCCATGGAAGTTATAAAAATCAACAGCATTCGTCAGCTTCCATAAATCTAGTTTCTAACCCTACATCTACATCACTGTTTACCTCTCTCCATAAATAAATATTTATTTAGAATTCGAAGGTGAGTTTAATTGGTTTTCAAATGAAATTTATGTAGATTTCTGTTTGATTTCGTGGAGTAATCAATTGTGGGGGTCGATGGAGTATTGAGAGAGGCGCCAGAAAACAGAAATCTCAATTTAAAAAATTTCAATAGGACAAGTGCAATCCCTCCCCTCCATGTGAATGAAACTATAAACACAATAAGTCTTCTATTGAAATCCTGAAGAAATGAACTCTTCGGACAATAAGCGAAATTTTTAAAAATATTTGAGTATAAATTTAATTTTACTCATTTGAAATATTCATAACAAATCAAAATTTTTACTTAAATTTAAGTTCGAGTTAGCGTTAGAATGGCCTAATAGATTTTTATTATGTATAAGACTGTTAATTGAGTCGAGCATATTAAATTTGTGTTTTTAAATAAAATTAAAAAATTGTTTAAACTCTATTTGTTTACAATCAAAATTCATGTTCTATTATATCATTTATTGAAATAAAATTAAAAATAAATATTTAATTTTTTCTTAAAAATCATAATTAATATGCAATTATACTATCTATTGAAATAAAACTAAAAAATCAAATAAGTGATTAAATTGTAATGGACACAATATTTTTTAACTTTAATTGGGGTAATTTGATAGTTTAGTTTAGTTGTAGGTACATCATTAGGCCACAAAAAAATTAAATTCTTTAAATTTTAAACCCTACAAAAAAACCTCAAAAAATTAAATCTAATCAAAATTTTTATTTCAATAATTTGGGCCTATAATCCAATACATAACATTAAAAAGTTAAAAATAAAAAAATACTCAAAAATCAACTCATTTACTCCCACTCACTTTCTCTCTCTCTCCCTTTATGTGATAAAAAATANTAACATTCTGACACTGTACCTCCATTTGCTCTATACATGAGATCTTTAGCAATAAGCAATCGAAAAGTTCGTCCCTTGTGTATGGCGCCAAAGCTACTGAGGAAAAGCAAAAGACACAGGCTAATTAAAAGATCGTACAGTGAAATCCATTTGATCTCAATTTATACAGCAGCTAGATTTAATCCGATGAATTTGGAAGTTTTTTGTTTTATTTGTTGGGACTGTGAATTTAAAAGCTTGGAGTGCTTTAATCAGACCATTAAAAACCTATCAGCTGGATCCCAGGTATTGAGAAAAGTGAAGGAACTTATCTGATTCATGGGCTGAAGATGGGGAGAACTTTTCAGCAGGAAGATGCAAAGGACCATACATAGTCCCATAACCCTCCAGTTTTAATATTGCTTGCCCAAATGAGCGTCTAAGAAACAGAAGCACCATGCACCAGCACTATACAAAGAGAACAATTTAAGAAGAACTAAACCCATTTTGATGAACACTCAATCAACCGATAATTTGCCAGAATGAGGCACCAAGAAACTTCAGTGCCTACCACCAGTATATATTACACTCGTATATATANTTTTTGTTTTATTTGTTGGGACTGTGAATTTAAAAGCTTGGAGTGCTTTAATCAGACCATTAAAAACCTATCAGCTGGATCCCAGGTATTGAGAAAAGTGAAGGAACTTATCTGATTCATGGGCTGAAGATGGGGAGAACTTTTCAGCAGGAAGATGCAAAGGACCATACATAGTCCCATAACCCTCCAGTTTTAATATTGCTTGCCCAAATGAGCGTCTAAGAAACAGAAGCACCATGCACCAGCACTATACAAAGAGAACAATTTAAGAAGAACTAAACCCATTTTGATGAACACTCAATCAACCGATAATTTGCCAGAATGAGGCACGAAGAAACTTCAGTGCCTACCACCAATATATATTACACTCGTATATATGTATATGTACATACTGTATAGGTATGCTTGTGTGTGTGTGTTTTAGCTATATATGAAAGGTCATAAACCAGCTTCAGAAAGTTAAGTTTGGGTGCATAGAATGCCACTGCCGTTGGAACACTCATTTGAGCAAGAAACATTATAAGGAGGATGCAATCCAAATGCACGGACTCTCTCTTTACTCCTCGGTTTGCTTGAGATTGGCCGAGAACCCAGGCTAGCTCATGTTGTTATAAATAGAAGGCCAAGGAGAAAGGGTAACAGACTTCTCCCCATAATAACCAGGCAGCCATTGCGCCAGTACCTAAAATCAATTTCCTCAAGGGTGGGTTTGCCAACAATATTTTTATGGTTTTTCTTTCTTTTGGTTTTTGGGGAGAGCGATGTTACACAGATTTAAAAAATTGGATTAAAAATCTGGTTTGACGATGGGACTATTATATTTTTTATTAATTTAACTGTAAGTCTCAATATTTATTAAGACCAATTATCTATTCAATAATAGTAGTGATTCATCAAGTTAAATTTTTAAGTCAATTATTTTTAAGTTTATTTAACATTTTCCTTTGAGAGCGGGTTAACTATAGTTCACAATGGACCCATATCATTTGATTCATCGACTACATATGTTACCATTTATTATATATTTTCTATGTCCAACTATAACAAGCATAATGTATTTTTATTACTTAATTAGATCAAACTTTGAACCAGTCACAAATTCAAAAAAAAAAAAAAAGAAGAATATTATAAAGTGGACAAAAAAGAAAAAAAAAGAAGAAGATATAATCTTAAAAATGGGATTATAATAGACCAATCTTTGTTTTTATCACACAACAACTGCTAATTTCGTGGTTATAAAGAATACCAAAAACGATCAACTATATTAATTTGAGCTTGAGGGTATTCTAGGCAGAAAAAATTCAAATTCAGGACAATGACCGACTAGGGGAAGACGGAGGGAGGGGAGGTGCATTCGGCAGTGCACGTTGGGGAACCTGTTGGCAGTTGGACACTCAACTTTAGAATAGAGAGGGATGGAATTGTGGTTGTTGAAGGAACGGCCGCTCAAAACCAGTGACCAAACCAAACCTCATGCATGGGTATGGGTTTGAATTAGGTGCACACATGTACGCAACTGAATCTTATGTTTCTTTAGTACCAAGAGTAATGTACTGGGAGCAGCTGGTGTTTCAGACTCGTGACCATGTACCAATGTTAAGGACTAATTTGTGGCGATCTCATCCTGTCATTTTGGATTATGCAGAGAAATGATCAATATATATAATTTAGATTTATTTAATAAATTGTATCAGATGATATGGCACTAATTTTTTTTTTTTTTTTTATAGCCGATGAACTAGAAATCAACTCTATTCAGATGCTACCCACATCTATACAAGTAGGAATTTTTTAATTCTAAAAGAATTCATACACAATGTCTATGTCATATAAAAATGGAGTAATTTTGTATTTCACACTAAGTTAACATTATTATTATTATTATTATTCTTGTTAAAGAGATGCTTAATTTTATTACTCGATTTGTGTGCAATTGACAAGTTTAGTCTATGAACCATAAATCTATGACTATGACCCTCTTTCTTTTTCAACTAAATCAATTATTTTTATAATATTTTTTCATAAGAATAATGTTATATAAATTTAAAAATTAAACGTAATAATTACAATCATTCAATAAGTATTGAGTTCCAATAAATACTGGGGTCCATAATAAAATTAATAATTATAATTATCTAATTTAATTTTTAAATTCACGTTCTCTGTCTACTCTACTGCATTTTATATTACTCAATTGACAGGTGGTGTGCAAACTAATTTTGTGCATCATCAATTTGGTGCCGTATGTGGAAAAAGACAAAATTCTCACATAAACAATTTCTTTGCTGATTCAATTGAGATAACTACCAAAATCAATTGTGATCACCACCAGATCTATGAATCAGCCTAAAGACAATCCAGCACCAAAGGAGGAGGATGTTCCTTCACCTGCCAATCCCGTCCCAAATGCACAATAGATTCTGGACACAATGCAGTAGCTTATAGCCTAGAATCAACAAATCATACAACTTATGCTCAATGGACAACAAGGAGAAGCACAACCCGAAGGACCTCAAGCTAGAGGAGCTCCATGCTTTCGGCGTCAAGGATCTCCCCACTTAGGCGCTCCACTTAGAGGAGCCCACCATGAGGGACCTCCACCTCCTCTTTGAGCTCCTTCTTCT